CCTCCCGGGGGCTGCTGGACACGGGCTCGATGAAATAGTCCTGGTCCATGAGCTGAAACACTCCTTTCTGCCAGGGACACACAAAGTGCCACCGTGAGGCCGCCGCCTGCAGCCCAGGTGGAACCTGGCACTGATCACAGGACCTTGGAATGGCTGGGGAATCAAGGAAACAATGGAATCAAGGGACCTTGGAATGGTTGGGGTGGGAAGGGACCTCAAATCCCATCCAGTGCCACTGCTGCCATGGCAGGGACACCTCCCACCACCCCAGGCTGCTCCAGCCCCAGGGTCCAGCCTGGCCTTGGGCACTGCCAGGGATGCAGGGGCAGCCCCAGCTGCTCTGGGAATTCCATCCCAGCCCCAGCCCACCCTCCCAGGGAAGGATTGTCCCCAGTGTCCCATTCACCCCTGCCCTCTGGCAGTGGGAAGCCATGGAGGATCTGATGGAGTTAAGCTCCCGCCAAAGTGAATGATATGAACATGAGCACTGCCCTACCAGGTACATGGAACATTTCTGCAAACACACAGGAGGCTCTAAACCCTTTCCCCCAACCTCCTCCAGGTCACTGGAGGAAATACAGGAAATACAAACAGTGGAGAGTTGAGGAAACAGCTTTGCTGCCCAGGAGCTGTGCTATCACACCTGCAGCTCCCAGCCCCTCGCTCCCAGGTGTGCTCCTCACGATCCCACTCACGCAGCACAAGGCAGGGAATTGCTCCTTTTGGGAATTTGGACACAAACAAGTAAACCCAGCCCAGCAGAGCTCCCAAACCACTGCAATCCATGGGAAATTCACAGTCAGCCCACCAGACGTGCACGATGAGATGCTGACTCTGCTGCTGGGAGTTTTGGCGTCACTTTTGGCAGAAACAAGAGTTCCGCCCGGCTCCTGCCGTTCCCTTACGGCCCAGGGCTGCTGCGGAGCGGGGCTGTACTCACCAGGCCGTCGCAGGTGCTGAGGGCAGCCAGCCCCGCCTGCCGCGGGCCCCGCACCTCCCCGATCATGTGGCACGGGTTGTAGGAGCGCGGCTGGATCTTGGCGCCCGCGATGCCGCCGAAACGCCGCTCGCTGACAAAGCCCGGGGCCAGCAGGTGCCTGTTGAGGCTCAGGTTGAATTTCAGGGCTTGCCCCCTGTACTGCAGCTCGTAGAAGGCGGGGAGCTGGCTCCTGGAGGCAGGAGACCTCCGGTGGAGGGCCCGGTGCGACAAGTCGTAGGACAGGAAGGCTCCGCTCTCGTCGACCTTGATGGGATGGACGATGTCGCTGCCGGAGCGCGGCTCTGGGGAGAGGGGG